ACCATTCACAGTTACTTTACGATTCGCATCATCTTTGAAAAAGTACGGTCAAATGATGCTACCAGCCCATAAACCGCACCAAACTGTGACCTTTTCTGGATGCATAATAAATAATAATAAAATTCAATAACTTGCAAGCGTTGTTCCTTTGTAAAAAAATCACCCTTTAACGATGAAAACGAAGACCGTGAAAATGCGCACGTCGGCAAGATGATCGGCGTAGTAGACTCGAAAGCACGATCGGGCCACTAAACGCAGACAACATCGTCTCAGTCATGCTCCCAAGTAAAAGAAGCTGGAAAAGTTTAAAAGAGTTCAAAAATCGCGTGAGAAGAGAAAAGATAGGATCTGGACGGAAGTGGCAAGATGCACATAAATCCCATTAGGAGAAAAATGGAAAGCCACTCTGAAGTAATACGAAAACGGTGTGGCACGGTTCTTTAGAGGATAGCTCTGACCTGCAAGGGGACCATTATTATTATATTTTATTTAAATTATTTTTTATCTTATTTTCTTTTTTTGATTTTTTTCATTAATTTTTTTTATATTTTTTTTTAATATTTTTTTTTTAATTTTCTATTTTTTTAATTATTTTTATTTTTAATTTTTTTCTTATTTTATGTCAGTTTGTTTAAATTGAACCGAATTTTTTTCGATTTTTTATTTTTATTTTTTATCCTGGTGTTTATTTTTTCACACTGTTTTTAAACAATTTTGCTAAAATTTTGAATGAAAAATGTAAAAGTTCAAATATACAAGCAACAAAAACAAACCCATATGTATGTATGAATATATAGTTATTAATGCCATCATAAATTTAACAACAAATGTTGTTAAAATAAAATCGTAACAACAAAATTGTATAAATAAATAAATACACTTATGTAAATATACGTACGTATATACGTATATGCAAGTTTGGAAAAAAGAACCTCGCTCTCTAATGATTACAAAGTAATAAGGCATGTAGCCTTGAAACCGGGAAACATTATATTTAGTTGGATGCTTGGAAGTGGTCAAGAAAAAAGCAAAAAAAACTGGTTTTAATTCAAAAATGACAAAACAGTTTTTATTTTAATTTTTTTAGTAATTTTTTGATATAGTTAATCGGTTTATACAAGCATTATTGTAAACAATTCCAATAAATTTTTAAATGATTTATTAAATTTTTATTTTTAACAACAGATATTAAAAAACTTATATAATATTTGAAAAATTTATAATTTTATATGTTAATTATTAAATATTTAGGAAAAAATAATAATTTAAAAAATGTATATTATAATACATACATATTATATATTTATTTTTTGCAGCACATTTGGCAAAGCTTAGCACTTATTGCTATTATTATTATTATTTTTTTTTTTGCTTTAGGTTAAAACTCCCATTCAGCTTGTAGCCTATTTTTAATGCATTACAGCTCAGCTATGATTAACCTACGAGTTGGATTCACGCTCAAAATGAGAAATTAAATTAGCTACCTGACTATGAGAATCACGCCGAATAAAGAGGAGCATTGAAGTGAAACCAAAATTATAGTATAATCGTTGTAAAAACTTATAAAAACAAATTTAGATCCGTCTTCAAACTATTATAGCATATCTCAGGAATGCAGATATATGTATGTACATGTATATGTGTATTTATATGTATGCATGTGCATAAAGCCTTATTTTGGTGTGCCTCTAGGCGATACGGGAACAGCCAACTTTACGACCTTGAAATAAATACGAGCCGTGTTCCGTAATAACCGAGCCAGAGCTGGCAAGTCAATGAGGAAATAGAAGAAAACTAAAGCATGCGATAAGAAATGTTCCAAGGTATTTGTTTTTTTCATATATACATATGTGTATATACGTGTATGTTTGCCTATTATGCATAATGAGTTTTGATGCTCTGGAATTTCAATGAATCTACCTCACAGGCATTAGGGACTGATGTAACGAGGAATGAGTCATGAAAAGTAAAATCCGGAAAACCCTTTTTAAAGCATAATTATTAAATAAATAGTAAGTCACTTTCCGTGTAGCTATTTAATGAAAATGGAGCGGTTCTTTTTAAACTAAATAGCTGGAATAAAATTTATGATTACCTTCAAAAAAGAATTGATTTAAAATTATATCGCATTACGCTATTTTGTGCTCGCGTGTCTACGTAAGTGTATATACATATGTATATATGCATGTATGCACGTATGTTTAACTTCATTTTATTTTGGCTCTTAGCCAGCATCTTTTCCGTTCAACTTTTCTCTCGTTCTTATTAGTTTTAAATTTTTTTGTTGTATTGCACATACGAATGTACATACGTACATTTGTGTTTGCTTTCTATTTTTTCCAATTTGCACTTCTGCGTCATTTTTCGTAAACATTTGCTAGTTTGACTAAATTAAGAAATAAAAAGTAGTATCTAGAAAAGAAGCCTGTACGTCACCCATTCACTTTCTCCCTTTGTCTATGAACAATCACCTAGATGGTTTCTAATATCTACATACACATAACTAAGCTCCATCCACCAGACGTTTTTTAACACGACCTTTTTTTTCTAGATCTAGTCATTTAATTTCTTTTATTTGGTGTTTTTCTTTTCATTTATTTTTTATTATTTTGTTCTTTCTTTTTATTTCTTTTATTTTTGGTTTCTATATTTTTTTTCTCAGTTCTTTGTTATCCTAAAAAATAGTTGAGAAAACCGCAGAAGTGAACGCTTTTCTCAACTATTTTACTTTATTTTACTTAAATTTTTTTTTTTTTTAAATTATTAAATAAATTTCTCTTATCTATTTTATTTTATTACGTTATAAGTTCCTTTAATTATTTTATTTTTCTCATTTTATTGTTGCTTTTCCTTATTTTATTTGTTTTTTGTTATTTTATTTGTATTTTATTTTCTTTTGTTAAACTTTTTTTATTTTTTGTATTTAATTTTTTTAATTTGTTTTTTTTTTTTATTATTTGTATTTTATTTTTTATTTCTATTATTTGTATTTTATTTTTATTATTTGTATTTAATGTTTTTATTCCTTTATTTGTTTTTTAATTCTTTTATTTGCACTTTTATATTGTTTTTGTTTTTATTAATTTAGTTTTCTTAGTTCTTTTATTTAATTTTCACTCACTTATATTATTTCTTTAATATTTGTATTTTATTTCTTGCATTTTTTTATTTCTTTTTTTTTAGTTTTTTTTTATTTCTTTTATTTTGCTCTTTTTTCCTTTTTTTACTTATTTCATTTTTATTTTTCATGCTTTCCTATTATTTTGTCTATTTTTCATTTTCAATTATTTTATTTAATTTTTTTCTTTCTTAATTATTTTATATGCTATTTTTTCTATTCTCTTTCTTTTAATTGTTTAATTCATTTATTTTATTGCTTTTTTAATTCTTTTAGATTATTTGGGTCTTTCCCTAATGCATTTGCTTTGTTTTTTATTTTTCTTATTTCCTTGTTTTTATTTCCTTTTTTTATTTTTTATCATATTTTAAATTTTCTTTTATTTGTTTTTTTATTTTTATTTTTTATTTTTTCTTTCATTTTTTATTTATTTTATTTTTTTTTACATCTTTATTTGTGTTTTTTCACTTCTTTAATTTTCTTTTTTTAATTTGTAATATTTTTTCATTTCTTATTGGTTGGGGTTCTTTTTCTTTTCCTTCATTACTTGCTTCTCTTGTTTTACTTTTTATTTTTATAATTTAATTTATTTGATATTGCTGCCTTTTTTATTCTTTTATTTTGCTTCTTTTTTTGTTTTTCTTTATTTTTACTTTTTTTATTTTTTTCTGCTTATATTTTTAGTTTTTTTTTCGAGTTATTTTATATTTTGATTTTATTAATTTTTCAGTTTTCTGCAAAAGGTAATTTAAGTTATTTTTGTCATATGCCGTACGCTATTATTTTGTAATCACTACATATGTATGTGTGTATATGTATTTTACAGAGTGCGCGATATTTTATATGCATTTGTTCCTCTCCGCTTAATCCTTTCGAGATTGTAAGGTGCGCTTACCAACATTTTTCCGTGTTTAATGGACTAAAGCATCCTCTCAGATATTTTTCCATGCTCCTTACTGCTGAAAATGATTTGCACTTTAAATGTCAAATCAACCGTTATCGAGTGCCGTTGATTTCATTTTCTTTTCCTTTCACAAAATGTTTTTGCAAATTTTTTTTAAGCCAACGGCACTGCGCAGCCACCAAAGTAAATGGCGAACTTGAAAATTCTAGTGAATTTTTTCCGCAATAAATTCAACTTGCTTTTTTTCACTTTCCTTTACCAAACTATTTGTGTTTTGTTTACCTATTAAAATATATTTATACATACATAGTTCTAACAAAATACCGATAAGTTCATTGCACTCACGATTGACTTCGTGCACTGCTGACAAGTTAGACACATACATACATACATATATTATATTAAATGCTCAACGAAAGTTTCTTGTTTTTCTTTTGGCATAAACATACAAGCGCATAGTATATGCATTAAAATAATGCAATTATCAGCTGACGAAACAAATAAAAGTAAGATTCAAAGCGGACCCACTGCTATCACCACACCTTGCTAAATATGTATGTACATATGCACATAATAATGCCGAAGTGACCGGACGTCGAATTGGAAGTAAAAAAGATAAACAACACTGCCCATATACACAGCTATGTACAATACATATGTACATTTACATCCATATGTCAAGGAACAAGAAAAATGTCACAGCAAAAACAAAATTGCCGTGTAGAGACCACAGACACACCCTTTTGCAGAGATGCAACTCCAATGGAAGAGGCGAAAGGAAAAGGATATTGCAGCCGTGAATATAATTTCATAACATAATGAGGAAAGGGTAGAGCAAAACACACATAAAAAAATTGCAAGATAAAAATTGAGCAAAAAGAGACAGGGAAATTGTGCAATTATAAGCACATCCATACTATTGTACATCACTTATACATGTGATGGAATATACATATAAACTACGAAGTCAGTACTTACCAATGCCGTGCTCTGCCGCACCACCTGCGAAACGGTTTCCCGCAACTGAGCCGCCATACCGGCTTTGTTGCTGTTTAGGACGCGTGAGAATTTGCGTTCGCTCATCTTGGCCGCAAAATCAAAAGAAGTGAAGGCCAAGTTGTTTGCTGTTGTTTGTGTTGCCCGTAGAAGAACGTAATCCAATAAGAATTTATACCAGTTTTAAGCAAAACATAAAACAAATAAACTTTTATCTTGTACGTTTATAAAAACAAGTTATGCAAACGTACATACAGAATAAAAAAAAAAAAATTGGATGATAAAAAATGCCAGCGTTGGAAGATGCTACTCAATTTCTTGGCTCATGAAATACACGCATGTAGGTAGGTAGGTACGTAGTTATACAAGTTCAAAGGAAGCAAACAGTTCAGGGCGCACTTGGTTTGCTTGTTTGTATGTTTATGCTTCGAATGTCAGCACGGCCTCCAACGAGAGGCAGTTACTTTTTGTTTTGTTTTTATGTTTTATTTTTATTTTTTTACATACATACATACGTATATTTTTTGCGTTGTCACAAATAGGCAGGAATACAGCCGTTCGTATGTACCGTCTGCAGTGTGACGTATACTTTTGTTTGTATTTAGGTAGGCATGTATATTTTTATCACTTTTATTTTTATGCCATTTATTTACATTTGCAAAAAATAAAACATTCTATTTTTATGCTTCCTTTATACAAACATGCATATGTACACAAACATATGCTTGTATTGCTATTTTCTGCCACTTGGTAGAGGTCTGTGCTTTGGAAGACACTCTACCACTTTTGCTTTTTGTTGTTGTTTTTGTTTTATCGAACGCGATGAGTAATCGTTGGTAGCTGCATAGATATTCCTGTGGGAGCCTCCACCGGCAGCCCACCAACTTCAATGCGCTTTGACTGCGCCAAATACTTCAATTTCTTTATATTCGCACTTTTTCAAAATTTTTTCTAATGTTTTCCTCACAATACCGAACCAATCACTTGACATTTCACAAAATTCTTGAAGGACATTCGCCGAATCAGCTTTGCCACCCACTGGTACGCCCGATACAGCCGCAATGCACACTCCGCACACACACACACACGTGCACAGTACGTAATGCGGCTTTCTGCCGTTGTTATACATAAAACACAATCGCGTTGATTTGCCCGAATTTAAAATTTGCGTTTATCCAGATTTTTCACAAAAATATGCACACAATACTTTTTCGTTATATGTATGTATGTAGTATGTATACTTCAAAAAATATTAAAACGCAAGTGAATTATTTTCTCTAAAAATTTTCCAGACGCAAATATTCTTAATATTTATTACAAACAATGCATTACAGCGCACAATTAGCTTTAATTACAGCCGTTCCACTTAACATTGCGCACAATTTTTGTTTATAAGTTTTCCAATTTGTTTACTTTTTTACTTATCTTTCAAATTTTTTGCTTTGCAATTCAAAATTCCAAACATTGATTCACCCACACAGATATACATATGTTTCCATGTACAAAAACAACAAAAAATAGGGGAAACTCGTTCGAATTTGATATATAATAACCAAATTCTTGGACGCGCGTTTTATGACTGAAAAACAATTCGCCGTCCAATCAGTCGAATGTTAAAGAATTTTTCGTACGTTATAAATGCAACACTGTAAACAGCTGTTTGTGGATGTGATACACAAAAATCAAAAAGTTGCCATATTAAATAGCAAATAAGTAAGTGGAAGGTAAATCAGTAAACAATTTAACCTAGTTTTTCTGTTTCTTTATTGAAATATAAAACAAGCAGTATATATGTATATTTCATATACACTTATAAAATTCAAGTTTACCAGAATAATAAGATTTTAAATCTGAAATTTTTATTCTTTCTCTGCAAATATTATAGAATGGCAGCATCGCCACCTTGGATTCCACACGAAGAAAACGAACTTTCCGCCGGATGTGCTGTCGTGAAATATATTTTCAATTGCCAAATTTCTTACGAATCGGCCTTTATATTAAGTATATTGATAAATAAGTATGAGAAGGTTATGTGAGCTCATATATACAAATGTGCAAGACAATTAAATTAATAGAAGTGCATTAGTAAAACATATCAGTAAAGTGAGTGGTAACGAACTGTAGACGCCATTTTGTAGTTTCCGTTCGTTTAAAATAGGTTTCGTTTAATGCTGTTGCAAAAGAAGACAGAAATCTTTAATAAACGCGTTTTAATTAGAAAAAATGCTAAATGTAAACAATAAAATATAAAAGTTAATTTCAAAGTGGAGCTGTTTTTTTGTATTAGACGCTGTTTCTCACACAGTGTTTTATATGTTTAATCTCTCCATTTTTATTTATTTCTTCTTTAAATAAAAAATGAAAATTCCTTGACAACAAACATAAATATATATACAGATAAATCAAACAATAAGTGCTAATAAAATCTAAGCTAATGCATAAAATGTAATAAATGTGTCTACTTTTTCATAATCCAATGATAAGTTGTTAATTAAAACCAAGAGTGCATTAAAAATCCAAATCCTTCGTTTTCAAATAATAAATATATATGTAAAACTGGAAGTGCAAGACTATAAGAATGCAAAAGTGATGAAATGAATTGGCTGAAGTTTTATAAATATATTTAACATTTTCTTAAGCTATAACCTAGTTGATTAGTGCTTTAAGCCATTTAAAAATTGAATTATTTAAATAGTAAAAAAAGCTTCAAACACAATGTCAAAATTTAACTCAAGGTAAGAGAATTGTATATCTTATTATATACATAATTGGCGCTTTGTAGCCGCTGAAGCGATTTTGACCGAGCTCCTCCTCCAATTGGTTTTGCGTCTTGATGTTTTTCCAAAAAATAGTAGGACCAACAATTTATACTAGGCCGCCTCCAAACGGCTGATAGTTTTTTTTATGAGAAGACTTTATTGCATGTCAGAAATACACTCGTAGGTACACCTCATTTAGAAAAATTAGCTTAATTTTTTATTTAAATTAATTTTCTACAACTCTTGGATGTTGGTCTTAGCAAGATGGCAGTAAGCAATGCTAACCGCGGTCTTATAACATGTATTTATATTTAATTTGAAAAAGTAGTAAATAAATTATAAATGGGGGGATATGTATGTATATAAGTGATAAACGAAAATTAAATTTAGTTAATACGAACTGTTGAAAAGTCATATGTATATTATAGAGTACCTGCAGCTGGAGCGCCTAAAACTATGCCATAAGCTTTATAATATAAAATGTAGTAAACAATTGTATGTTCGTAATTGTAATAACTTAAAAAAGTAATTAAATGATATTTGTTATATAATCATAACTCCAATATGACATTTATGTATGTATAAGCGATAGAAGAGCAGCGGGAATTTTAGGTCAAACTATTTTGAAATATCAGTCTTATCTGATTTGCTAAGATCAGCCACACCTTATCTCATGCAAGAGTATATTAACTTCAAATTGGTGTTTAAGCAAATAATAACCAAAGAGAACACTCATCACTCATATTTGACTCTCTTACCAAACTAAAAGCCGGCACAAGCAAAGTTCATGTAATTTTATCTCTTCAAAACAAAAACACACTCAATTACTTCATACTACATGTATAAGCAAACACCTATACATACGTGCATGACATCAACTCCAAACAAATCAGACCAGTCAAATACTCAGTCAGTTAGACATTATCGCTTGCCCTCAAAACTTGTCAAATACTAGTTGTTACTCTCAAATAACTATGCAGACAAAAATTTTGTTTGTTTGTACACATGTGTGTCTCTTGTGCATTTACTTTATCATCGCCTGTTTTGTTTATATTCTTAGCTACCTTTGTGTATCGCAATGTTTACCCCATTTGCCAGTACTTATGTACATACACAGTATTGTTGTCGTCTAGTGCGAGGCAAACCGACTCATGCTCATGGTTATGGTTAAATGTGTATCTTTGAAGTTGTATCTGCCTCATGCCCAAATTTTTTGTACATACAATTATTTCTTAAATACATACATTTATGTATAGATTTGTTAAGTTTTTATTTTAATTTTTTTTTTTTTTGTTATTCCCTTCTCGCGCACAGAGCACAGAACAACCCACTGAGTTGCCGACTTCAGCGCACGAGTATCTGCTGAATGTGCACTCACTCACTGCCTAGTTGATATCTCAACAGTTGTATTTGTGCTTGTGGCTCCTCCGATTCCCAGCTGTGACTCGCCTCGCTCCGAGACGTTCGTTCAGTGTTGAGCGGTGATCTTGCGGAGTCAGATCGTTTAGACGGATATTCGTTTTATAGTGAATGCGGTAAATCTTAAAGTAAAGCAGTAAAGGAAGAAGAAAAAAACAGTGTTACGGGAGTGTGTGTATAATATAGCATGCATATTGTACTTGTACATATGCAGTAGTTTGTGTTGAAGTACATAAAAACATACATACATATAGACATCATAAATACCATATACATACATAAATTGTGTGCAAGAGGACTGTGCTTTTATTATCAACTGGACTCGGTCAATGGTGAGTGAGGGTTTTATTGGGAAATATTAAGTATTGTTATTTGAGTATTTCAATAAAAAAAAAATTGAATGAAAATATTGTGGATCCTAGTGTTGCTAGCTAAAATGTGAATGAAAAAATGAAAACCAATGTGTATACATACATGTGTAAAAAACAGGATAAAATATCTTAAATTCAAAAGTGTTCTGAAGTTACAGATAACACAAGAACATAAGAGTGTGTATGTGTGCGTGTGTGTGACACCATTTTATTTATTATGTTTCCGTTAACATTCCTTGGCTGTAGTTCATCATATCGCTTGCTTTCTTTTCTTGCATGCAACTTTTATTTTATCTTTTTCCCTACACCAAAGGGTATCACATGTTTTTCTTGCGCTATTCGCTGCCTCAAACTTATCACACAGTGCATTAATGTAAAAGAAAGAAGAGAAAAAAAACTCGAAACAATGCAGTCATATGCAACTGATAGAAACTATCTACGAAGCTAAACACGCATACACATACAGTTAAATATATTTACACATTACATACATACGTGTACCTACTTATTTATGCACTTTGTGAAAAATAGAGTTTTTTTTTTTAATTAAAAAAAATAGTCTACAGTATTGAAATATTAAACGTTTTGTGTAAACCGCAATGGACATCGGTGTTAACGTCAATCATATCCACTTACAGGCTACTTGCTTGTCTATATGTAATTTAAGGTAGCGTAGAAAAAAGTGCAACGATAAGCAGAGCATAAATATGTGTTTTTTTTTTAATCTTAATTTCTATGCAAACGAAGGTTAAGTGGCGTAGAATTTATGCAGAAAAATGCATGAAAAAAATATTCATTTCTGTTTTTCTGCTGCATAATATTTTGCTTTTGCTTAATCTTCATGCCGTTTCGTGTTTTGGAGAATATGATATCTAATGCCTGTCACTTCTAACATTCATCGGGTACATTTCTCGTGTATGTAATAAAATTCATGCGAAGGAAGTGGGAAGTGTGCTCAGCATTTTTCGGGTGGAGCTAAGGTGATATATAATGTATAATACAAATACTTAATTAAGACAAGTTCAGTTCTAATATATCCATTTTATGATTCACACTGTAAACAATTTTCTGGACCGATATTGCATAAGCAAGTCATTAACTCGTCTTCTTCAACTCCGCATAACTTTGACTGTCTTTCTTCCCCACATTTCCGACCTCACATTGAAAAGTTAATAAGCGTGCATAAATACGGTTTAACGATTACCTAGGAGGTGGTATTTCCTGTACCACACAAGCCCCACATGCTGACAGTTCTAAAGAATGACTCATAAATTGCTTGTCGCAGTAGACAGAGAGCTCTTTTCAGATATGATTATTTGAGCCAAAAAAATTATCAAGGGTCTCACTACCTTCCAGTCGAAAAAAAAACAGAACTATGTTCCAAGTAAATCCTTTTAAAACGGTAATGAAAGTAAGCAAAATATCTAACCCCTCAGCAGAAAGAGTAAGAGAAATGGAGATCAAGGTTTTGATCATTAAACAAAATGCAGTTAAAAAGAGAAAGAGAGAGGCCGAAAACTTTTAAAGCTAGCCAGCAAAGAAAATGTTCGAAAATAAAAAAAAAATATTTCACAAAGAGGGAGTAAATTAATTCGACGGTTTTGGCGTAGGAACGAGAAAAATTATATAGCAACCGATGTTCAGGGTATAATGAGTTTATGAAAGGGACGCATCCCTAGCCAACGATTGGATCGTAGGTGTGCTCTACCCTATCCAGAAGAAAGTGGCTTAATAACCTGCGTTTTGCTATATCTCAAATGACTGATCGAACTATAGACCACAGACATTCATTACACTCTACACTGGCAGAGAAGCGAACGAGGAGGCACTAGGTTATTAAACAAACAGTCAGCGCATGCGCATCTTGCCTCCCTTGAAGTAAGAGAGAGCTTCTTCGATCGACAAGCCAGAGCGAAATAACTATTGCCTAAAAGTGCTCTTTCATTTTGAATTGGCAATTGAAAACTAATGTGCTTTTGCCTAACCCGCTGCATGTCACTGAGACTTAATATCATCCGATTAGTTGACCGTTAGAGTTTTTGAGAAGAAGGATTTTTTTCTCCACATCTGGGACGATGAGCTGTATAAGAATTAAAACACAACATATCAGTTGGCTAGGTCATATTGTTCAAATGAGTGAAAACACCCCAGTTTTGAAAGTTTTCGATGATGGAATAAAAAGGAAGACCAACAGTCCGTTGAAAATATCATGTGAAGAAAACTCTACCTCCGCTAGGTGTCTCCAAATGACGTCGAAATGAAAAGGAAATGTCGTGTTCATGTCAGCTAGAAAGTGGTGTAATGAAATCGATTTATAGAGGCGCTCGAATAATATACGCTTGACAAATAAGGCAGGACTGGTCCATAAAGCAATTATCGATGTAAAAAAATAGTCAGGCTAAATATATGGTTCTAAGGAAAACTGCTTACAATCGCATATTTTTCGAGCTGCCGATCAAAACTGCCAAAGCCCAGACTAATGTTCAAGCAGTAAACAATTTTCTTAAAAATATGTACATACATACATGCATACATACATATGTACTTGTGTTTGTTCGTACACTTCCATTTAGTCAATTTATTCATTAACGCACTCAACCATCAGCATGATCATCCTCTGTCGCTGCTGTCAAGTACAATATTCTTGTGCGCGGATACATTTTAATTATGGTCACAAAAACAAAAACCCGAGACAAAATATGAAGAGTAGCTTGAAAGAAAAAAAAGCTTTAAAAGATGCCGAAAAATAAAAAAGACGGATGCGTTAATTACAAGAAAATATAAACAAACACGACAATGACTTATCGTGGATTTGTTTGAACTTGGACTCGAATGTAATTCATATTACTTGCATTTGCACTGCAAGCGGAGCCACACGATTGAGCGTGAAAACGTTGCTAAGTTTTGAAATAAAATCCCAACAAATTGTTAGTATTTTTAGTTTTTTTCGCTTTTTTATTTCAATTCTTCTAGTCGTGATTATGATCTCATAGCTCACTCAGGCCAATGTGCTGTGGGTAAATGTGTTTTGTTTTTTTTTTTTTCCTTTTGGTCGACCAAAATGGAACATTTTTACACATACATTTTCCGCAAATGTTAATATGCGTAATTCCAGCGCTTACTCAGTCTCAGCAATGAGGCAGGAAAAGCATTTTATTGTTCGTGTGCATATGTGTTGATGATCGAACATTTTCTTATATGTATATAATTACGTATGTACATAGAGCATAAAAATTAAAAAAAATTAACTTTTTCGGATATATTATACATTATATGCTACACCGGGATTTAGTCCCGAAAATTGCAAATATATTTTTTTATATTTTTTTTATTTTTATGTAAAAATCTTTGTTAGAATAATATTGAAAATATTTTCATGATAAATTTTGTAATCCCGATAAAATATTTCAAAATCCCGAAATCTCGGGATTCACAAAAAAAGTCTAAAATGATAAATTTGATGAGAATACATAATTTTATTCACCCATGCCTTTTATTTTATGTACATATATGTTTATATACATATATTGTATGCTTACTTAGCTGGCTGGTCCATGTTGAAGCAATGCCAGTAAAGCTCCAGTGGATCTGAAATACCTGCGGAAAAGCTGTTGCAGCTTTGAAGCTTTTGGCCTCACATGGCAGTAAAGAATAAAAGCATCATCAAATGCTTGGAACTTGGTTAGCTGCGTAAATGTTCTAGAAAATTGGCTACCGTCCCCCAATTGAAAGGGGGAGACAGCACACTAAAAATTATGTCATAACTCAAGCCAAACGGTAAGTGTGACCGAGAAACGGAATGCTTCTGCGGGGTAAATGCCACTACTCCTTCTCTAGCAGGGAAGAATGAGCGGAAGGCGGACCCATCGGAAACAGTCAAGATATCCATATCTATGCTGATGGGTTTAAATAAGTTTCTTCTGTGACAACCCTAATTACCAAACGGGTTTAAAACTCAATGACTACAACTTTGTCTTCCAAGCAAAGATAAGAAATGGGCAACAGTGGGTTTTAACAGTACGATCTATTAGATTTTTGGTAGATAGTCAAGCGGCTGTGAAGTATGTTAACTTAAAGTCCAAATGTCCAATGAATATCACTTGGGTCACACGGCTGTATATTGTAATGAAAAGGCGGATAAGCTGGTTCGACCAGACCTTTCCGCGCCTTCATATGTTATCTAATGCAATGGATTTTGGACTAATACTTAGTGAGCTGGAACACTTCCACCGTAGTGTGGCGGTGTGATCCCGCCAGATCCAACCTTACAGATGTTGGCACGCAACCTGACCTAATCTTTGGCTTAAGTAAGGCCAGTTGAGATCAGGTCCTCAACCTTCCCCTTCAACCAGCTAACCTACCGGTAATCTTATATATAAAAATCTTATGTCCGCATTGAAAAATCCAGTAATTTCCAAAAATCTTCAAAAGTTACTGACCGAAAGACTTGAAATTTCATCAAATTGTTTCTCTGATACCCGGAAAGGTTTACAAAAAATCTCGGGAAGTGGACCGGGGAAAAAAGCTCTTATATTACCATGAAACGGGTCTTCTCCAAAAGTTATTAACCGAATGGCTTGAAGTTTCGTCAGATTTTTTCTATGATTCCGGAGATGATTTTTTCCAAAAAAAAAAAAAAAAAAAAAAAAAAAAAAATAGGGGAATGGACCGGGGACTGACTCATTCGAAAATAGTTCATTTATGGTTTGATTTTCTAGAAATTCGGTACATAGGTGCCTTTTTGCTTAGATGAGTAGGAAAACCATTCGTCGTCCTCAAGAGTATTGAGTAAATAAAATCATAAGAAAAAGATATACCATTATTAGAAGCGTTTACAGGGTACAGCTAGTATTGTGTACACATAAGAATACATAAACTTATGTACATTTATTTGCTTTCATTTGCGGATTTTCTCGTCAATCAGCATGATGTTTATTTTGGCATAGTGTGGTAGTCTTCCAGACTACAGGCTCAATTAAAAGTACATTTACATAAATTTGTATGTACACACGTACTTATTTTTGAATTTTTCATGCTCATCCGCAGAATACATATTTCACATACACATATGCATTCATACAAAGAAACGTACATAAAAAGTAAAAATGTTTCTTTATTTTTTCATTACTTTGTTGCAAACTTCCAAAAAATAAATAGTCGACTGTCAATTTTATTAAAGCTCACAGGCATTATTGGCTTTTTTCATGGCATACACCACCACACACATATGTATGTACCCAGCAAGGAAAAATACTAGTATTGTAGTTAACTAGAATTCAACTAGTTTTTACACCAACTAGCTCGTCTTACATCTATTTTAAATGCAAGCAATTGGTACTTTCTCATACTAGCTAAATACCAGTACACATATACCAGTATATTTATACTGGCTTTGTCCGCGAAATACCAGTTCATGTACTGGTCCAAATTTTCTTCGAAAAATACTAGTATAGTTCTAGTCTATGGCAAACTAGTATATTTTTGTCATTTAAATACCAGTACAATTCTGGTTTACAAAAAACTAGTGTGATTGCGTCTTTAAAATACTAGTGTTTAACTAGAATTTTTGCATGCTAGTTCACCTTTCTCTGCTGGGTATATCATAGTTTCCTTCATCGCTGCTGCGTTGGGCAAATAAACTTCAATTAAGTTACTTCATTAGTCGCATCTTGGCGAGGTTTCGCCGGTTTTATTTGTTTATATTTCATACTCTCATACATGCATGCATACATATATATATTTAATATTTGTTCTTTAATTCATGATCACTTTTTAACAGCATTAGTTCACAGCAGCAGCAAAATTTTTCATTTATTTTTATATTTTTTGTTTATATTAGATGGTAGTGGCTTTTAAACATACAAAAACTTTAAATGCATACATACTTATGTGCATACATATATATATTCCATAATGAACAGATGTTTTACTTTTAGATATACATATTTATACGTTTTGTGTTGTTGTGTTGAAAAAATTACTGTTGTTCGAAAACGAAGGAAATTTTTACTTTTTGCATATAAGAAACATTATTTTGAATTCTCTCAGTATATTAAGTACAAAGCTTCTACGATTTTCAAATTCTTCCACATAATTGCTCAGAAAAAAAAGGACATCTACTCATTCTCTCGAAATTTAAGAGAAGTCCTTTGGGCTGTGAAGCTCCTGGGCGCCGTACAGAAGCAGAGCACACCTCCAGCGTCTCACTTATTCCTTCTTCTCTGCAATTCCTACATGTGTCACTACTATTAATATCCATTCCATTGGCCTGTGATGTCATTAGGTTGTGGTGAGTGATTAGGCCAACAACTATCAAGCGCTTCTCTAAAAATGAGAGATGTGCCTACATTTGATGGCCAAGCATATGATCTTGGCGATTTTGCATGCCGTTAAAGCATTCCATCGCATCCCGATCCGTCTACCAACGCCCTCCAAAAGCTTTTAGAAAGCGTATATAACGGTTTTTGTACTTCAAAACCTAGTACGACACGAATCTCATTAACCGGTAATACCTTTGTGGTGTGAAACCCAATAGAAATGCAGGTGTTTCTCTGTAACCACCTTTCTTATTTACTCGCTACTCCTAAAAATATTTCATAATATCGGTGAGATTATTGCCTTAAATTCCGCTTAGCTGTCAACGTACAAGTTTATGTTTTTCTTGTGATTTCCTGGTTTGATAGCTATCGCTGCATTTTTCCTTACCGCGAAGATTTCCGCCTTGAAAACACTGCAGTACTTTGGCAGTTTAAGAAGTTGCCGCAGGTTTTTGCGGGAGAACCGTCAATAACGGCATGGGCAAGCGGTGACAAGTTTGTGTTTACATGGCACACTCATAAGATCGATTGCTAAGGATGGAAGGTATGTAAGATGGGTAGTTGCAGTATAACGCAATAGATTCCGCTGCATACTCCATCAGTCGTTTTCAATCTAAACGTATAGAAGAGTTGAGGTATAAGTGAAAGCGATGACTAAAATTTATATGGCGAATGGAATAATTCCAAATGTATTTGGAGTGTGAATTACGATTGAGAGTGGGAAAAACGTAATTGGCCGCCGAGAAAATTCCATATAAAACAGCATAAGGCAAGATTGGCTAGATTACCGTTGTTATGATTTGTTGTTACTTAGCAAACTATACAAAATTACTCTTAGGTACTTAATAAGCTTCTGAAATGCTATCTCTGCTTCGAGGGATCTTGTACGTTTTGTTTTTAAGGCATTCGTATATGACTCTTAGAAATGCTGCTATGTTGTCTGTATAGGAAAATTACTGAGATGCTTCTCATTCAAGTTCACTTGCTACATTCCTTATGGTCCTTCAGACGAATTATTTTCAAAGCATATAAAATTTAACTCGCATTTTTGTGAATACTTCGCTTTTTTCGAATATTTTTTTTTATATTATAATTTTTTATTTCAGTTTATGTTGTTTTATTTAATTTTTTATTTTCGTATCATATATCTTATCTTATTTAATTTGATTCATATTATTTCATATTTTATATTTCATTTTATTTTATTTTATTTTTTTTTTTTTTTTTTTTTTTTTTTATTTCAATTTATTTTATTTCATTTTATTTTATTTTATTATATTTTATTCCTCTTATTCTTTTATTTCACTTTATTTTATTTTATTTTTTTTTATTTTATTCTATTTTATTTTATTTTATTTAATTTTATTTTAATTTATTTTATTTTATTTTATTTTAATTTATTTTATTTTATTTTATTTTATTTTATTTTATTTTATTTTATT